CACACACACACACACACGCACACACACACACACACACACACACACACACACATGCATGTTTGTTCTTCAACCCCATGGGGACTGTGCATTGACTTCCATTCATTTTTAAGTAATTTCGACAGCCTAACCCAGACCACACCCCCAACCATCCCTGGCCCCTCCCCTAACTCTCCCCCTCCTCTGAACTCTCCTCCCTCTCTGTGAAACCTGACAAACACTCAGTGAGCTGATTTCTACTCTAACAGTCCACCTACACTCTGCAGAATATGTCAGTCATWTTCCACTACATCTTACAGCACATACACATCAACAGGCTGCCTCCACCTGGAACAGCTGACTCCACCATGCACATCCCATAAACACAGGACCCAGTAGCCCAGGACTGGATCTGATCTCGAGCGAGTACTTCCTAATGGATTTACCAACTCTGCTGAGACAGCAGGAGGAAGGTGGAACCCTCTAAATGAATATGACCTTAACCTGACCCTTTACCCATTACCCTAAACCTACTAACCTCCACCGGTCTCACTGCTTTTCTGAGCCTGAAAAGTCCTGACGGGATTCATTCCGAACTGGTTATTGGACCATCACAAGTCCATCACAGGTCTATCACAGGTCCATCACAGGTCTATCACAGGTCCCTCACCTGTCTATCACAGGTCTATCATAGCTCCATCACAGGTCAATCACTGGTCCATCACAGGTCCATCACAGGTCCATCACAGGTCCGTCATAGGTCCAGCGCTGGTCCATCAGAGATCCATTGTATCTCCATCACAGGTCTATCACAGGTGCATCGTAGCTTCGTCACAGGCCCATGGTAGATCCATCACTGGTCTATCACAGGTCTATCATAGCTCCATCACAGGTCAATCACTGGTCCATCACAGGTCCATCACAGGTCCATCATAGCTTCATCACAGGTCCATCACAGGTCCGTCATAGGTCCATCGCAGGTTCATTGTAGGTCCATCACAGATCCATCACAGGTCCATCACAGGTCTATCACAGGTCTATCACCGGTCCATTTTAGGTCCATCACAGATCAATCACAGGTCCATCACAGGTCCATCACAGGTCCATCACAGGTCCATCATAGCTTCATCACAGGTCCATCACAGGTCCGTCATAGGTCCATCGCAGGTTCATTGTAGGTCCATCACAGATCCATCACAGGTCCATCACAGGTCTATCACAGGTCTATCACCGGTCCATTTTAGGTCCATCACAGATCAATCACATGTCTATCACAGGTCTATCATAGCTCTATCACAGGTCCATCACAGGTTCATTGTAGGTCCATCACAGGTCAATCACAGGTCCATCACAGGTCCATCGTAGGTCTATCACAGGTCTATAACAGGTCTATCACAGGTCCATCACAGGTCAATCACAGGTCCATCACAGAAAGACCTGTGATGGACCTGTGATTGACCTGTGATGGACCTGTGATAGCTCTATCACAGGTCCATCACAGGTTCATCACAGGTCCGTCATAGGTCCAGCCCAACACAGAGACATGTGCACACTGTCACAAATGATGGATTGAGAAAAAGCCTCCAATGCAGCAGGGAAAGACTTCAGGCTGGAAAACCACAGAGTTAAACCAGGAGCCATGATGTTTATTACAACACCCCCATACTGTTTACTGTTTATTAGTAAACAACCATGTGACTTATTTCTCTTTCTTCTCTGGCCCTCCAGGCACTTCCTCTTTAAAACAGGTACTGGCACCACCCCCCTCTTCTCCACAGCCACTCCGGGCTACACCATGGCTACCGGCTCGGTGTACTCKCCCCCCACCAGACCGCTGCCCAGGAACACGCTCTCCCGTTCTGCTTTTAAGTTCAAGAAGTCCTCCAAGTATTGCTCATGGCGGTAAGGAAAGCTGTTTTTCATGCCAGTGTTCTGTATGACCTCTGAACTTCAGACTGCTGTCAGTGGGGGAAAGAACAAGTTCAAATGTTCAGATTAGCAACTCTCACAGCAGATCTTAGCCTCCTATCTCTTGTTTGGAAGGATTTATCTAGATCGCCACTGTTTCCTGACTCTAATTGTTTTAAGGAATGCACAGATACCACATGTTTAAAACCAAGAACAGGTACTTTTATTGGAGTACCTTATGATACTGAGTACTAATATGAGTACTAAAAAATTACATTCTTACAGTTTGTTTTACACACATATTTCCCTCTTCTGCTCATCATAGTGAAGTATATTGACTAAAGGCATTACACACTTCAGTAGACTGACCACTGTGATATGAGCAGGAGAACATATTGGAAAAGGCATACTGTCAATAAAACTTATTTCTCATGGCTAGATTTCTGTGTAGAATTGCATAAAATATTATTCTACCAATTAAACACATCATTTAGTGCAGAAGTGTGTAACTTGGCAACATGTTCTTGCCTGATTTCTAATATGTACTTACAATCATTTCTATCAAATCCAAACAATGTTTGTCACTATCAAACTGTGTTTCAATGCTGTGCTGATCTAAATTTAYCGTGTCATGGTTAAAAAATAACACCCAGCTATATTACTTTATCACACGTTTCATGGATCTTCAAGAATAAATTAATTCTAAATGAACCTTTGTCTCTGGAGGCTGCAGACAGCTTACCAGCATTTTGACTGGATTTTAGTTGATGGTCACTGCACTTATGTTTACTTCAAATTTTATGCAGTCTAATATTTTTATCATTTAGCTGTTGTTTTGTTGCATTTAGCTTTTAGCTAATGTGTTGCTACTTTCAAGTAATGTTTTGCTWCTTTTAYCTACTAAAGCGAGTTTAATGATGTTTTGGTCAACGGTAAATGGCTTTATTATGTCCCTTTGTCCCATCGACGGTGGTAAGCACTCCTGACCACCAGTAGTCAAGGTGGGTGAAGTGTCTTGCCCAAGGACACAACAACTGAGACACATTGGGGGAGGGGGAGGGGGGGTCACAGGAAGACTCCCCTAATCCCCTCAGCCACAGCTAGGGCCCTATGATTTGCCAGTATCAAACTGAGTTTCAATGATGCGCGGATCTAAAAACTCAGAATTGACCAAACAAAATTGAATCGAGGCAGATGGTCTCCTGTCCTGAGCCTGGTTCTGCTGGAGGTTTCTTCCTGATTAGCAGGGAGTTTTTCCTCTCCACCATTTGCTCAGGATGGGAGACTGTGATGAAGTGATTCAACACAATCTYCTGGTTTCTTCTTTACATTGTTCTTTTTATGTACAGTGRCCTGAGACAACGTATATTGTGACTTGGAGCTATATAAATAAACTTGAACTTGAACTTGAATCCAAAGTAAAAAGTGGAATCTCACAGAATTTGCTTATTTGGACGAGTTCTGTGGTATTGTAAGAAAAATACGTATTCAATAGACTGAAGTCAATTTTAAAACCACCATTGTTAAATAAAATGATTTGTAGAAGGAATCAAACCACACAACACCAGAGTTCTGGAACTGAGTGAGGTTTAATGTAACCGGAGCTGACAGGAAACCACACTGGCGAAAAACCAGGAAGTTAATCAATTTATACAGGGTCTTCAATGCCTGCGTTCGCCCRCTACTGACCTACGGCTGAATCACAGGCATTCATACAAAATTCTCACCTGCTGTTCTCATAACGGTTAAATATGTGTTGTTATATTATTCAAACATGTAACTAATCT